CTGTATGAACATTATGACAAAATTTCACTTGCGGATATCTCCTTGAATTGCAGAGACAGAAATTAAGGTTTCTTCTGCACTCTGATTGGTTCATGCTTAGGAGTATTAGAGTGATATTTGCCTTGATTTTCCCTTTAAATATCGTGTAATTCTTCGTAATTCCTTCTTGACACAATCCTCAGAGCAGATTTTTCTTGCTATGAATGCTAGACATCTAATCACATTTCCCTCGTACTTCATCGGTACAAAGCTGAGGAAGTTTGTGTACTGTGGTTTGGTCGTCTTCCTATATTACCTACACTTCCTTTTAAGGAACAATCTTCTTTTCTTGTCAGTTGGACATTAAGGAAATAAAGAGAGTTATTACTTTTGCATTAGTACATAAAATGAAATCACTAGACGCATGTTTACCATAGACTAGAAATGTATCATCCATGTACCGACAATACATACCTATATTGGTGATATTATTCTTCAATGATTCGTTTTCTTATTTTGCTAACAATATGTCAGCCAAGATAAGACCTAGTGGAGATCCCATCTCTACGCCACCAATTTGTCTTTACATTTTGCTACTGAACATTCATCTTACATTTGACCGTCAAGTTGTTTTAACTCTCAATAGGGATGCCTGTCTTTATATTCTGTCCTACCAACTATTCACAGGTATAGTTCACAGTTTCATTCAGAGGAATATTACTGAACGAAGATGTTACATCAAGAGATGCTATGGATTTATTCACAGCACTCATGTAATTTATTATCCTACAAACTCGAAGGTATAATTTGTGTTAGTTTATCATACTAGTTTATCATCATCAGTTTTACCAGCTATTTTATAGTGTCATGGTACGGTGAATGTGACATTTCTAGAACATGGCAGAGTGTTACTTAAGTTTTATGCATTTTTGGTAGACCATATATAGATGGAGAAGATAATGTGAGAAAATCAACTCCATATTGCAAAACAACAGTTGGAAAAACACAAAGGGATATAATCTCTTCAACAAGAAAGGTAAAAGAAAATGGGATTATATTGTCAGCTATGTTTACAAGGCTAAAATCTCTAGGTAGTACGATTCCTTGAATATATAGTCTACCAGAAATACATAAAACTGAAGTACCACTTTGTCTTATCCTAGAAATGTTACATTCATATTACAGTTTTTATCCAGTTCAGTAAAAACAAGTATTAGTCGGGTGCTTTTTATTTGACAGAATACAATTTCCTGTATCTTTTACTAACAAAACATGTTTGTGAGGTAAAACCCAGAGATAAGAAAACAAGTAGGTTAACAGAGATAGATGATGAACAAGTAAGTCTATGTTAGTCATCCTATTTTGCCTGTCAAGTGTTTGTATTTGTATCTTAACCAAAATGTATCATGTTTAACACGTTCGTGAATAATTAATAGCAAGGTAGGCACTGGTTTAGTTCAAGTCATATCATGAGTTATACACCAATTTGGTTAAGGTTACAAATAACTAACACATGCACATTCATCAAGTAAGTTAATATTCTTATCAAACCTAATTACCTTCTTTCTAGTTTTCTTCAGTGCATCAGTATTAAGATTCATTCAAACAAGCTATTTCTCTGCATCATTATGTTATTCAATCAGTTAACTGAAGCAGATGATAAAAAGTAGCGATTAAATCTTTGGATTAGAGGAGACAAGTAAACGATCCCTGCAGGATAAGACTATAAGTTGGCATCTGCACTTAATTTCTAGGCCAAACTTGAAATGAAAAAGGGAAGGTAATAAAAATGAATCCAAATTAAGATGATACAAGTGATTATGCATTAGGCTATGAGACAGATTTAATTTATGAGGGCTTATGATACTAGCCTGTGGGCTAAGTAGGTGGGACTTCATTTGAAATTGGAAACCTTCGGTTAAAAGTAAAGTGTTCAAATCAATGAGCCATATCTTTGCATGAAAACGAGACAATAGAAATGCTTCTATTTTAGTCTCTTTATTAGAAATGTCACACAGTGAAACAGCATCATTTACTGGATAACGTTTCTGAAAGGGAGAAAAAGCTTACTAGTAGGCTAGAAAATCTACCACAAGAAATGAGACACAACAAGAATAACTTGCATCTCCATAACTATCCACCTAAATTTATAAATAAATTCATAAGAAATCGAAAGAAAAATATGAGCAGTAGTAGTAGTAATACGGGCGTTATTAATATTAATTCCACCACTAATAGTAATCATGGTAACAGGGTTGAGAGAGAATTCAAAGCCTACATTGTGTTACCATACAAAGAAGGCACTTCAGAAACATTACGAAGAATTCTCATTAAGGCTGGCTGGGATTGAAGTGAAGTTTAAATCAATAAACTGGCTTAAAAACAAGCTTTGTAAGTTAAAAGATCCCATTGATTCAATTAGGTAGAATAATTTAGTTGATCAAATCTCTGACAATGATTGCGACGTCGAATACATAGGTCAAAATGGTCGACCAGGGTCGATTAGAATAACACAGGGCAAAACCTTGGCTAAATCAAGATTAGTAGATCTTAAAGAGATAAGAAATTTAGGAAAAGATCGGGCATAGCCATGCACGCAATTACACACAATCACACAATAGGGTGAGATGTAGTGACAGTATTAAAAACTTAGTTGAATGAAGGGAGAGACTGATAACCGAATCTTGATTTATCGAATCCACACCAATTACATACAGTAATAGGAATGATTCTCCACCTGTCGCAGATATATGCAAAATTCTACCAACCTTGTCATCACAGAAAAGACAAAATTAGGACTAGTCTTATTGCATGTATTATACCGTCGTTGATTGGAGCGAATTGACCGGTCTCTGTTGGCATATGGGCTCCTGTGCAGATGCCTCGGTATACCTGTGTTCTAGTTATAGTAAAGATGGATAGTAGTTAGCAGTGGAATCCAGGATGTGCATTTCGTCCTATTTAGGACTCGTCAGCTGGATGCACGCACCTCCGAGTGAGTGATGTAGCCAGTATGCATCTTTGCTATAACTAGAACACAGGTTTATTGAGGCATCCATACAGGAGCCCATATACCAATAGAGACCGATTAATTCGGTCCAATCAAAGACGGTATAATACAAGTAATAATACTAAAACTACACCCATCGCATAACAAATGGCTATCGTGGCTCGGTGGTGTAGTGGATAACGCTCTGGCGTTTGAAGCAACCAGTTCCGAGTCCAAATCCCGGTGGGAACAACATCACTCACTGGGAGACAGGTACATCTAGCTGACGAGTCCCAAATAGGACGAACTACGCATCCTGGATTCCACTGCTAGCCACTATCCATCTTTACCATATAAACTCTGTCTGCAAGTTGCGTAGTTACCTGATATGAATATTGACAATAAATTGTGTCCGAAAAGTACGTTATCCAGTAAATGATACTGTTCCTTCACTATGTGACATTTCTAATAAACAGACTAAGATGAAATAGCAATCTACCACACTGCCCACGTTTTACTTCTACATTCATAGAAATTCTAATAAGACTACTGACAATTAGTCATTCTTCATTCTAACTTTTACAATAGATAGAGACATGCATGATGTGTAAATCATTCCTGTGAACTAAGAATGTTTCCATTGAATGTTTCTTAACTGTGTCCACTACTTTAATGAGAGTTCAAACGATTAAATAAAACTGTTACTGGATACTCAAGTCCAATAAGCTTTCTGTTGGACTCCTCGACAATGTTGGACACTTTTAAAACCAAATCAATTTATAGTAGCAAGTATATCGAACCAAAATCTACTTTTATTTACAATAAGAGTAACAGTGAGATATCACAAGAAACCTTAGAGGGGCCGTATTGAGATAGTAACTCACTGTTAATATCAACTGTATGGAAAAAAACTGCATATAAACTAGCTTAGGTGTACAAAATGTTACGAATCACGTATTGGGAACCATAGATAACGGCTAGAAACCAATCACAGTTTCATTCTTTGATTTACTCCCAATTTTATTCTGAAAGCTATCTGTACATGTGCTTTTGATTACATAGGCCGTTATTATTATTATTTTTTACCTAGTGAAACATAGGGCTTAACTAGAACATCTCCATTTCACTCTCTTCTCTGAAGTCTTTTCAACCTGTTTCCACGACTACCCACATGCTTTCATTTCTTCCTCACATGATCTCCTCCATGTCACCGTCGTCTCGGACGCCCGATTCGTCGTTTCCCCTTTGGATTCCACTCGAGGGCCTGGACTGGCGTGAGATGTCTCCGAATGGTCTTCTCAGTGTATGTCCAATCCAATTCATCTCCACTTTCTTCTGCATATTTGTTGGCCGATAGGTTCTTGGTTGGTTCGTTGCCAGAGTAGGTTCCTTGTTACTTATTCTTTCTGGCCTTCTGATCTGATCTTCCGTATCGAGCGTAGGCGGCTGTTGATGAACGTCTGTAGTTTGTTGAGAATGCTTTTCGTAACGCTCCAAGTCTCTCGACCATCACATACAAACACTGACTTACTTGACTGAATTAGCGTTGAAAATCCAGATCTTGTTCTTTGTGCTGAGTGCGGTAGATCTCCACACTGGTTTCAGATCCATGCAGGAAGGTCTATTTTGCTCTTTCCCAATCTGGCTTTGACTTCCTCATCTGTAACGCCTCCTGTAGCTGAAACGATGCTGTATAGGCAACTAGGTGAAAGAGACTACTTCTTTTAGGTTTCTCTCATTGATGGTGATGAATGTTTGTTGTTAGTGTTGGTTGGGTATCTTCATCGCCTCTGTCTTCTCTACGTTCACTTGAAGTCTCATCCTTAAGTGACAGATCAAAAGAGAAACTATTACGTAACGTTTTATTTACACTACCCGTCTATTCTATCCTTCTATACTAATTCATTCTAGATATCACAAGTAATTATTCCTTCTGAGAAACAGTGAAACTATAAAATTAATGACTACTTAATTAAAACGATTATTTTCTAAAATATATTTTAAAAATCTGTTATATAAAAAGAGTAATTACCTTATTAACTGCAGTAAAATTATACTTTGCTTCTGCCAGTAAACTCCAATAGAATGATGCAATTGAGATATTTTTCTTAGCAGAATTGATTAAAGTTTTCCAAGCAAAATATGTAGACAAGTATTTCGGTGATCCTGATGAAAATGTTAAATTTTCAGGTATACTCTCAACCGGAAATACATGACATTTGTCATCACGTGTAAGCAATTCTGCATCAGATTGACTTATCTCAAGATTTTGTGATTCACAAGAGCATTTGCGAAATCCATCAGTGGATACACAATCATGTGATAGACACAGTAAAGTAAGTATGGTAATTATCCAGGAAAAAGCCATTTAAACCTAGTCTGAAACAAAACACAAATTGAAGTGCCAGTTATAGAGTCTTATTGAATTTGAAATACATTTTTAAGGAATTTTAAGTTGTGCATGTTGAGTAGTGGTCGTCAAAGATGTCAAATCTGTCTATTCTTATTCAATGTTATCACAGACGCACTTCTAGGAGACGCCTCCCTATCGTTGTCTGAACTTACACTGATTTGTCTTATCACAAAAGAATCCTTGGTAGATGTAAACTTCACATATAACATAGTCTTGTGGGAAGATGCAAGATGCAAGATGGCAAGATGCACAGTCACCTCGACACATTCAGTAGATTCATGTGTGGATGCCAATAGTGGACGATCAATTCGGTCCAATCAACCACAGAGGTGTACACGTTACAGCATCAAAAAAACCAATAAATACCTGTCGCACGAGAAGTGGCCATCGTGACTAGGTGGTCTAGTGGGTCACGCTGTGGCGTCTGAAGTGATCCAGTCTTAGTGGGAACAACATCACTCACTAGGAGGCAGATACATCCAGCCAATGAGTCTCAAATAGAACAGAATGCACGTCCTGTAATCCACTGCTAGCCACCATCAAGCAATTATTATACAAAAGGTAATAATAATAATAGTAATAATTCGCTTTATTCCAAACAATTTGTGGTACAATTTGGAATTCTCAGCGTAATATATATTGCAATAACAATAAAATATAAGTATATACATACTACTTTGCAGCCTTTCGACTGTTTTATTATAAAAATTTAAGTTATGTGAAGAATATTAAAAACGAGACAATTTTACATTGTAAGTTAAATTATTGAAATGAGATTTTTAACTGTCACAAAGTTGATGTGTGATTTCTGTTCTAACACTTTTTTCCTCACAAAATATACGTGCAAGGTAAGGTACAGTCGAGTTCTTATACTTAGCTGTACGAGCATACAGTCTTATGTAGTTTCTCCTTGTCCTCCCTGAGGAGATACATGGAGAGAGCTGTAAATGAAGTGGATGCTCACTGTCAGTTAAAATTTCTGTAGCTAGTAGCTTGCAGGAATTTATATGTCGATCAACTACAGTGTTAATCAGTTGAGCCAGAGGCACACCACTCACCCTGCTGACGGTCTTCAAAGCCCTACGCAACATAACATAGTCCTTTTTAAGAAGACCAGGAAAGATTAATGGGGAACAATATAGAAGAATAGGTAAAATGCAGGAATTAATAAATTGTAAAAGAAGCAGTTGAGTTATACCAGAAAGCCTCAATTTCTCGATGTAATAAGTTAAACGAAAGATTTTTTTACAAGTCAATAAAATATGGGACGACCAACAAAGGTCAGAAGTAAAATGCAACCCAAGATAGTTCACACTCGATTTACTTTCTGCAGAAATACCATTGATGCAGCAGGCGTCATGAGATTTAAGCAGCTCACATAAGTCTTGTTTACGCCTGAGGCTAAAATTAACGGTCTGACATTTAGAGGGGTTTAGTTTGAGAACAGAGACCATTTACCAACTTCAGACAAGAATTCATTTAATTTCAAGCAATCCCAAAAAGAGTTTACTGGAATAGAAATCGTCAGGTCGTCAGCATACTTGATAAAATTAGTTTCAACAGAATAAGGCAAATCGTGCCAAAAAAGGAAAACAGAAAAGAAGAAAGTACAGCACCTTGAGGCACACCAGCTTCAGTAAGCAATGAAGTGGAGCGCATCCTTTATGAATAGTGTACTGTTTCCTTTCAGAAAAATAAGAATGCAGCCATTTTGTAACCCATGGATCAGTGTGAGCTATGGCAAGCTTATTTAACAAAAGTGGTCTAGGAACAGAGTCAAAGGCTGATGAGTAATCCAAAAAGGCACAACGGACATACTTAACACCTTTGTCGAGACTAGAAACAATATTATGATGCAAGACAGTAGCTGCATCTAAAGTACTCCTCCGGTGTTTGTAAGCAAACTGTTTTGGATCTCTGAAGGCCATCAATGAAGGCTCAATCACAAGCAGAAGTAATTTCTCCATTGTCTTCAGAAAAGGGGAAGTTATAGCGATGGGTCGAAAAGTAACATCTGATCCAGAAGATGGCTTAGGCACAGGTACAATTTTTATCTGCTTCCAAGCAGTGGGTATTATGTTTTTAGAGAACGATACATTGAAGATATCTGTAAGTGGATGACACAAAATATCTGCACATTTTCTAAATATGATACTAGAAACACCATCAGGACCTAAGCTTTGGGAGGGATTCAAAGACTTTAGACATTTAAATACATCATTTGTATTGAAACCTGGAAAGCAGCTATCCACTTGATTTTGCACATTAGGAAGGGTGAAATTAGCTTGCCGACGTATAAATGACTTGTTTAACGCACAGACATCCGAACGAGTTTGTGTTGTCATCTGTTTTTTACCAGTAAGCTCTTTAAATAATTTCCATATATTGGAAGAGTTCTTACACGATAAGAACTTCTCGTTGTATATAGTATTCAGACGTTGTATTTCAGACTTAATTAGGCAGTTAAGCCTTTTAACGCCAGGGTGATCTCTCGCCTTATACAACCTTTCCTTTTCTCTCCGAAGCCTCTTGAGATGAGGAGAGGAAAGTCTGTCAAATCTCATGTAAATTGTTTCAGTAGGGCAGCAGATATCGAGACAGAATCTGAGATAGCTTGTGATATTGGTAATAGTGTTGTCTAAAACTTCATCAGCAAATATATCCCAGTCCGTTTCTATAAGCATGCTTCTCAAACGTAATATATTTTCTTGTGAATAGCATCTGTATTGAACTTTCCTTGAAAGGTATGCAAAAGCTTTCTTGTATAATTTTCCGTACACTTTAGGCAAAACACGAACGATACAGTGGTCGGAATTAAGCAGTGGAGCCCGTTTACGGGCTTCATATATGCCAGGTTCATTTGTAAATGCAAAGTCTAAGGTGTTGTCAAGACGAGTGGAAAAGTTAACCATATTTTTATGACCCAATGATAATAGAAAACTGTAGTCACATGAGTTAAAATCACCACAGACAATAGACAAGGAGTTTCCCAGAACCGGAGCAGCAAATTCAGTGAATTTATCAGCAAAAGTTGACAAATCTGAGAAACTGCAGTCAGGTGTGACATACATGTTTGTGATATATATGTATTTGTATTTGCTCAAATGTTTGGGACGACATTTGATGGTAATGCACTCAATTTTTTCGTTAGAGAAGCAGAAGCATACATAGTTGGAGGACGACCAGTTAGTACTAATAAATGTTGCTACACCACCACCACATTTCTTCTTCGAAAAGCTTCGATCTTGTCGAAATAATTTGAAACCATAAAAAAAAACTAAGTCATCATCATACAGATTATGAAGCCATGTTTCCTGCAGCATTATTACACCCGTGTTTCGATAAACATTTGTGGACAAGAGTGACTGAAGGTAATCAACTTTATTCGGCAACGACCTGCAGTTTGTGCTAAGTATTTCCGGAATAGTCATTTGATCTATGGTCATACGCTTCAGAGCTCGTTGCCATCCACCGTGGTGCTTCTTCTTAAATTTCCTATCAACTTGCGAAGCGATAGGTTGTAATGATTTTAAAAACGCGCGAGAATATACAATACGATTGGTTGACATAATTAAACGATTAAAACAATATAGAAATAAGAAATTTGATGCAATATACTCGATGATAGAAAACGGTAGTCCAGAGTTCAAGCAGGCCGCCACAAGGGTTCAAGCCTATAGTATTAAAATTTGAAGGAGGACCCATTTCATACTATAGTAGAAAAGAATAATGATCTCATGTTATACGAAGATTGTGATCATAGCTTGATAACAGTTAAAGGATACAGTAAAGTTGAAAGTTTCTCGCCTCAGTGACTTTTGGAGAATCGGGAAACTTTCAGCCAATCATCGACTAGACTGTCACTTACTGAAGGGTACATGGATGAAAAAGTTGAAATGAAATCTATGAAATTTTCAATAAAATTCATTCCTTTATTGTATTCACAGTTGAGATACAGTCCGAATGTAATTTTTACCCTTGGTGTTCAGTTATCATCAAGCTAGCATAGTGAATCGTTGATGAAAATGACACACGTTATTCCTGTTCAACAAGCAGCTGTTGATGTGATCATCTCCAGGAAGTTTACTAGGGATATTACTTATTTCAGGTTGGAATTCATCATGGACTGATATTAGTTGGGAGAATATTGGAAACCTGATAGCACTGGACAGCAGTTTCGTCCAAGCATGGAACTCCTCAGCAGTGCGCACCCATCACCTAGCCCCACTAGGGATCAAGCACAGGACCTTCAGGTTCCATGGCTAGCACCTTGCCATTGAGCTAAGGGGTCGGAATTTAATGGTCCATTTTTCCTACTTCTGTCAGTTCACAATGAATACCAACCTGAAATCAATAAATCCCCACAAACCTACAAATCAAGATACTACTTATATTGAAAGTTTACCAGTGTGTGTAAATACAAACCTATGTGTAGTACGCTGATAAATTCTGTTATACCCAAACTCTTTTTCGACGTAAAACCACTCCCCATACTCTTATAACAAAGAAAATGAGTAATCAAAGCAATAGAAAATACGTAACCATCATATTAGGATACAAACTTTATACAAGCAGACAGGCAGACAATACCAACATACGACGTGGGATTATTGCGTAACACCTCAAGTTGCCAAGCAAGAAAGCACTAAGATGAAATAAAAAGCGATAAAGGAGAAAACAGTCAGAAGTGGTAAAAAGTCGTGAAGAAGATCAAAGGGAAATGAGGGAATACTGAAATTCAGCATGAGGATAATGTGTATGGATACGTGTACATCAGTGAGATGGATTCTGAGCGATATCACCTGCAATCTGCATCCACTGGTTTCTGTGGTCATGCAGACGACAGTCAGGAAGTCTACATGGTGTAACACCAAGTAATTTTTCTGAACTGCAGCTTCTAATCAGTTGAATGGAAGCAATCGGCAGGGTGCCCTAAACTTAGGTTTCGTGTTTGTTGTCACTTGTC